CCCCCGTCCCTCCTCTGCCCGGTCCCTTCCACCCCCGGCACACACACACACGCGCGCACACACACACCCCATTGATCAATATTTGGCTGTCTTGCTGCAACTTGCTGCAGTCTTTTAAAGGAGTAGTAGAGAGAGAGGGAGAGAGAAAGGGAAACTGACAGGAAGGGGTAAGGAGCTACACATGTCACATGTGCTTTCTAAAACGGCCAGGAGCATCTGCAGGCTGGATCTGGTGGAGGATGCTGCGGCAGGTGATACACAGAGGGCTCCAGTCGTTTTTCTACAAGCTGGGCTTATTCGTGAGCAGGCATCCGGTGTTTTTCCTCACTGTGCCCGCAGTCCTGACCATCATCTTCGGCTTCAGCCTGCTCAACCGCTTCCAGCCTGACACTGACCTGGAGAGGCTGGTAGCCCCCAGCCCCAGCCTGGCCAAGATCGAGAGGAGCTTAGCCAGCAGCCTTTTCTCCCTCGATCAATCCAAAAGCCAGCTGTATTCGGACTTGCACACCCCGGGGAGGTATGGCAGGGTGATTCTCCTCTCCAAACCCGGAGGCAATATTTTGCATCAGGCTGATGTGATCCTGCAGATCCACCGAGCCGTGCTGGAAATGAAGGTGAACTACAAAGGCTATAATTATACTTTTTCCCATCTGTGTGTGTTGAGAAATCAGGATAAGAAATGCGTGCTGGATGATATTATTTCAGTGCTAGAGGATCTGAGGCAGGCTGCCCTCTCCAATAAGACAACAGCCAGGGTGCAAGTGAGCTATCCCAACACTAAATTAAAGGTATGCTCTTACTGCATGCTTTTGCCAATTAAAGAGGCAGCACTTCATTTCTTGTCCTAAACAGCAAAGAGAAATATAATCATATCTATCGCTCTATATCTAAATGTGTGTGATCTGGGCTTTCCTCGGGAAGCAGCTGAAACTGGTGCCTTGCTATTGTTCTGTACGAGGAGGGGGGGGGGGACGACACACACGGACGACTGTACGCTAACGCACCAGGAGAAGAAGGGAGTGGAGAACAGCCTCCGGACCGGGAGACCTTGCAATGCCTTGAAGGGTTAATACATGGGGGAAAAGGGACAGGAGGTCGGGGGGGGGGTGGAAAGCCGGGGTTTCACTATCACCTTTTCCAGCCCCGCTGGCGTGAGATAATTTATCTTTAATATGGCCAGAAAAGGCTTTCCTCAAATGCACGGTGAGCTCCTGTATCTCCCTGCCTCTGCGAGTGCCGTAGGAGCAGCAAGAGGTTTGGGCCAGAAGCGATTTCAGGTGTCCTACCTTCTTTTTCTTTACCTGCATGCAAAGAAGGGGAAGGGAGGTGGAATTTTTTCTCTCGGTGTGAAAATAATTAACTCTGCCGCTGATGGAAGGGCTGGAGTTCTGGGACGGATCCCATCAGCCTAGAGGCTTCCAGCAAAGGCGAAACAAGGTAAAAGGTGAAAGAAGTTTCAGTCCTTCCAATTAAAAGAATAAACAATTCAGCACAAATGATCTCAGGAATATTTCCCTGACACACAAGCACCCATCTGCTTTCCCCCTCACCTGGAGCAATCCAGTTCACCAGCGCCAACCTGCTATGAGCAAATAAGGCGCAAAGTTTGCAGGTGGCTGCTGAAAGAAGTTTCTGCGAATTACAGTATATCTGCATGCTCCCCCAGGCACTGCACCAGAGGCAGGATTTATCTAACAGAGTGTAACAAACTCCCTAGCACACCGGTTATTCATGGCTCAGGTCATAGGGAAGACGATACGGTCCTTCTTGTAAACCAGAGAGGCTTTTTGGGGTTACCTGCCCCCTGCTTTCAAAGAGATCCTCAGGGATGAGGGAGGCAGTGCTCTTGCAAGTACTGGCCAGATCTGAAGTTATCATTTGTTTCTTCCAGTTCATTTACAAGGAAAAAAAGTAAAGCCAGTCCCTGCCCCAAAAACTGAAGCAGAGTCGTAGATTGATTTTATTGGTATTTTTGCTTCAGTGAAAGGGCCAGGTGGGACAGTTGGGATTTGGTCCCGTTGCTCTAGATGTTACAGTAATTGCTTTGTGCAGAGTTGAGGCTGTTTGAGTTAAGTGTGTGGAAATGAAAAGGTGTCCTTGCTGCTGCTGGAAAGCCCTGAGTGCAAGGAGTGCTCAGAAACAAGAGTTATTCTGGATTAAATATCCCTGAACAAATTTTATCTTTTAGTTCGCTTTGAAGACAATTCTGCTATTGCAGAATTAAAGTGCTTTCTTTCCATTTTGCTTATTTTTGAAGTCAAGATTAAGTTAGGTCAGTGGAGAACACTGATAATCTGGGCTAACATAATTATAAACCAGCTTTACACAGAAACAGTCATTCTACTCTTTCAATCCAGATTAATTTTCTTGTGTAGAGAAACCTTAACTGAGCTTGGCAAAACTAAGATGGGGTCACTCGCAATGTGTTTTTTTACTAGGAGAGTGCCTACAGCTCCTCCTTTTTTAAAGATAAAAGCAAAGGAAAAAATAACCTGGTCTGGATTAGAGATTTATTGGAATAAGTCATTGGTAGACAGAGAAAGGTTTTCCCAAGGCATAGATGTCTGACTCTGAGCACTGCCGAATACCAGCCCGACACCTCCAATCCTCCGAGTAGTTGTTGTGTATCATCTTCGGGATGAAGGAATAAATGTCCTTAAATTGGACAAAGCAGGCAGCTTTCTACCTGCTTCTCAGTGAAGGGACGTAAAGCCGCCAAAATCTGTGACTGCACTTTAGAGAAAAGCTAACGATTACAACCCATTTCTGCAGACAGGGAGAGTCCCTGGTGTTACAGAGAAAGAGAAACACACTTTGCCACAGTTTTTCTCTTTCTGGTACGGTAAGGACTCTTTTATGGGACCGCGGTCAGCCCCGAACCTGGACTGGCCTTCAGCTATGGCGTGTCCTCAGAGACTCACCTCCTCTGGCCTCTTTGGCTGCAGCTGCTGGGAATAAATTACTACTTTGTATAGATTAATTCATTAGGTGAGCCCCCTCTCTGTCATGTCTGTTGTCCCACCTACCAAGCTACAGGGTTCGGAAGTTGTGGGCAACTATCTCTTGCTCTTCTTCAAGCCATGGCCAAAATATTCATTTAATGTAGGTTCCCAGGCTATTTACTGACCTCTCTCTCTCTGCACCTCTGAGCAAAGGCTGTAGAAACCCAGGCCTGTGTTGCTTGTTTTGGGGTGTCTAGATGTGTTCAACCAGAAATACCTCGGATGCTGCACCCACTAGGGTAGATCAGCGTCTGGATGCTCAGCAAAGGAAACAACCCCTGTGGCTGTAGCTATGAGGTTTTTTATTTCTTCTTACTTGAGTCATGACGTGAAGGAACGGTTGTGGCTAGACCTCATGGGAATGCAAACAAGAGGGTCAAATCTGGCTGCCCTTATTCAGTGTGGACCAGTGTTCATCACACTCACTGGTCCATATCCTTGGGAGCTTTCTCAGCTAAACTCTTCTGCACCATAAAACCCCACCAGGATCTTCTAGGTTTCCTCACTTTCTCAAAGGACACGTTGCTTGGTTAATACTGGTAGATTTTGCTCTGTCTTGTTCTTTTACTAATGGCTCCAGATTGAATAAAATTTTTCTAAGAACAATACAGTGGGTTTACAAACTGTGAAGGTGTCCCAGATGTGTTTAGTCTGTAGCTGACACGGGTCGAGTGTCAACCTGTACTGGTTTGGGAACCACAATGACAATGTCGAGCTGTTCCAACGGCTCTCCTGCTCCATCTAGGAGCTGCAAAAGCATCTTGTAGTTTTTTCTTTCCCTCAAAGCTCTCACTTTGTCCCTCTTCTTGTCTCCTGCTGGAGCCCAAATACGTTCAATTCTCTCAGGTGAGGCTGGCTGAAGGCTGGCTGTGGGTGAGCTGTTGCCAGGTCTTTCACAGGAACTTTGTGGGAGCCATACGAGCAGGTTTCAGCAAACTGCTCTGGTTTTGAAACAGCTGTTATTGGGCTGCAAAATCTAATGAAACTCCTTGGCTTTTCCTAAAAAAATCTGGCTGTGAAGGGTAATGATTGTTTAATCGCTACTTGCTGTAGTGTTGGAAGAGCTTATAGCCTTGAATACATCTATCTTCACTGCCCCTCTGTAAGTTGGGAAGTCTTGGCTCTCCACTCGCCAGAGGAGGAGCAGAGAGATGGCACTTACCTCCAGAGTGCAGACTGCAGTGTGGTTTCAAATGCCTGAGATGCATTTAAAATCCACTCTGTCAACACAGGGGTCATTGCAGGCTAGTTTACTCTTCTGAAAGGCCAGGTGAACGAGGCTGTATGAAAATGCCTGCTCCCATTGCTTTGGGGACACTCTCTAGCCCGTTCACAGTTATTGCTATGCTACGCTGCAGTCTGCAGCCCAGCCAGAAGAGTGACTTGTCCAAGGTCATGCAGATAGACCGTGGCGGAGCAGGAAAACAAAGCTGGATGTATGAAGTCTTGATGAAGACTTTTTAGTTACGTCCTGGAGCAAGATTGCTCATGCTTTCCCCAGCCCAGGACAAAAAAACAATGTTCCTGTGCTTGGGGTCTGGATTGTGGCCTAACCACATAGACTGGGCGAGCCTACACTGAGCACTGACCCTCAGACATCAAACTGTTAAATTGCAAGTTTTAACAAATCCCGGCATCGTTTTTGCCAATTAAGACTTCCAGGATAGTGCCTGGGTATGCCTTGGGAATTAGCATGGGAAAGGGTCCATTCCTGGTTGGTATATCTACTCTATTCTGGGGATAACAGTGTGTATCTGCTTGGATATGTGGTGCCCCTGCCTACGGGCCAGAGTATGGTCTGAGGCACATTTTATTTATTGGTACAGACAGAATTATCGATTACATGGGCATTACTTCTTGTGTACTATCAGATATGAGGAAGGAGATTGGTTTATGACCCTGATTTGCCAATAAGCCCAGCAAATTTGCTGTCCTTATAAAGAAAAAAGAAAAAAAAAAATCACTACAAAGAATAAGAATGATTTCTGAACACAGACCTTACCTGGAGGAAAAAAAAAGCATGAAAGCATTTTTTCAGATATTTCACCTTTACTGTTTCTTTTCATGTTTATTTGCTAGTTTGTCTGAGAAAACATAATAAATTAGAACTTATCTTTCTGACATCAGAAAGAATATGACAACTGCTGGTTAAAAGGAGCCTTTGTAAGCAGATTGGTTGTTGTAATACTGCCTTCAATTAATTATCAGTCATTTATGAACACTAGGCTAAACAGCAGCCAATAAAACAGACATCTCTATTACCACATTTGTGATAAGAACATCAGCTGGATATTGAATCCTTTATTGCTTAAGTAGAAAAGTTACTTGCATTCACTTAGCATCTTGAAACCTGTAATTGCAGACTTGCTGCTGGCCAGATTCTCAAATTTTCTCGTGCTGACAGCTGTACTTTTAAAAAAGCCTTCCTCCGTTTGCATTCATAGAGTCTTTCCCACTGCGCTAAGATTAATTGCTCCTTACATGACCCTGAGGCACCGACCACCTCCATGGGACAGAGAGGATATAAAACCAGAGCCCACCTACATCAGAGTAGGTATCTGCATATCAATAATATCCACAAACTGTTCATTCCTTCAGTAAAGTTGGTTCAAGTATAAGATTACTCTGACTCCAAGGACCAGATGCTTCCTCGGAGGCAATGTGGCTCTGTACCCATTTGTGATACCACCTGTCTCAATCCAAGCCTGTGGCTCAGGATCCTGTGAAGTGCTCTGTGGCTGGCAAAAGTCGCTAAGTCAAAGCAAAATAATAAAACATGAGCAGGG